CGCCCCGGACGGGGGCCCGTCAACGGGACCCCGCCCCTTGTTGCTGCCCCCGCGCCTCGCTCAGTCAGTGAGCGGGAACCGGTCTGTATGTGGGATCCGAACCCTCGGGCGGGAGCGCCGCCACACTTCCCAAGTGGCGCACTATCCAGTGCGCCACCGGGCCGGCCCGGAAATTATCATTTTTCCTAGTCTTTTTATTAGGACTTGATAAGGGGCAACTGATACTGACATTACTAATTATAAAAGTAATAATGGTTTCCTTGATTAAACTATTGTGTGTCAGTGGTTGCACTGAAGACTGGAAACACAAAGTTGAATGCATAACAGCCCTTTCTATTTAGGAACTTATAGCATATAATTGAATAGTAAAACATATAAATAATTTCAATACCATGTGGAAAGTGCTGTAGGCTTGCACAATATAGAAAAGGGAATTGGGAAAGGCTTCCAGGAGAAAATAGTAATCATGCAAAATTCTAAAACATGAATGTGAGTCAGTCAGGGAAGAGTGGGTTAGAGCTCATTCCAAGAAGAGAAAACGCAAGTGCAGAGACATAGGACTTAATACAGCATGGCATGCATAGGTATCTCAAGCAGGCCAGTGTTTCTAGAACATAAAGAACAATGAGAGAGGACATATCTAGAGATGAAGCAGGACTCTGTCACTATTTAGAAATATATTAGACCTTTAAGCCAGAATTTGAAGCTTAGCCTCTCTATGACTATATATGGCCTGCTAAAAAGCTTAGGTATTGTCTTATAGGTAATTAGGAACTTTTGAAAGGATTTAAGTAGGGGAGTGGCACAGACATATATGTGTTTCAAATGGATCTCTCTGAAATAAATACAGAGTATGTATTTGAGAAGGGCAAGAATAGATTTGGAGGAACAATTTGGAGGCAATTCAAAGAATTTAGTTAAAGAATATGAGGATCTGACCCAAGGAAATGGTACCAGGAGAAAAAGACAGGGACCTAGTAGGGAAGTGTTTAGAAAGTAGAGGCGTGAAGATTTGGTGATTCAATAGACTTGGGAGATAAGAAAGAGGAAGAAACAAGGATGACTCCTACTTTTTAGGTTAAGTAGGTGAGTGAATGCTGGGTACAATTAAATTAAATGCAAGGAAATTAACTTTCACAGATTTCTTGGTGCATCTATAAAAAGTTCTAGCCCCCTGAGAACCTTCCAATACCATGGGAATTAGTTCTGTCACCGTTTGTCTGTTAACTTCTCTGATCCAAGAAGGCCAATTGGTTATAAGCCAGATTAGGTTTCTAGACTAAGCTCCAAGTTGTCAGACAGCAGAGGCTATCTCTCTAGGTATTCACATCTAAAATAAAAGAATGAAGTCCAGACCCATGAGACATTTCTAGGTTATAAAACCTGAGACACGTGAGGCTAGCTGACTTCTAGAGAGGTTGGAGTTAGGAGTCAGGCCCATTATATTTCCAAGGAGAACCTTTCAGGAAGAGAGAGGGACAGCTGTCTCCTTCTCCTTTCTAAGCAGAAAAAAATAATTTTCCTGGTCTCTTGCCAATGGAATACCCAGCCACTCACGTAGGACAATTTATCATCATGTTGCCCTAGAGGTAAATCTTTGGGCAAAAGGAGGGGCAGCAATGATATTTACAGCAGGTAATTAAAAATATCTGTTTACAATCCAGAATACCTCATGTGTGCATTCAGGATAACATCAATAATGATTAATATTAAAAACCCAACATTCAGATGGGGGGGTTCTGCATGGGGATCAGAGTAAGGGAATGTGCTGTGCTTACCTTGGAGAGGTAACATTCTTTTCTTAAAAGGAAATAATAAAGTCTGATGTTTGGAGAAAAGAAAAGGAGGTTTAGTAGTGAGTGCCTACATACCAAAATTCAATGAGTAGATGGAAGAATAGGATCCAATGAGAGTCCAAAAAAGAATGAATAGGTAGAGAGATTCAGGGAAATTAGGACTGTAGAATTATTGAAGAGAGAGTGAGAAGAAGAAGGCAACCAAGAGCATCCAATCATGATAGGCAGAGGTAAAGCAAGATCAGCTCTGAAAAGTGTTCATTGGACTTGGTAAGAGCAATTTCAGTGGAGGCCATAGAAGTAGGTTGAGTTGAGGAGTGAGTGGAAGGAGGAGTGAGTATTTCAAGTGAAAACTATTTTTCTGTGTGTGTGTGTGTGTGTGTGTGTGTGTGTTTATTTATTCGAGAGGGAAAACAGGAAAAGACAGGAGGACAGAGAGGATAACAAGGTAGAGGAAAGAGATGTTCTTCTTAGGATAGGGATGACTTGAATATAGATTGAAAGATAGAACCTAGCAGTATGGTAATCAACCTCTTGGTTTGCCTAGCACTGAATTTTTGAGAACGTGGGACATTCAATGCTAAAACCAGGACAGTCCCAGGAAAATTGGACAGTCCTAGGCAAACCAGGACAATTGGTCACCCTAACAGAAAAAGAAATGTTAAAGACCTAGACAGGAGAAAGTGGAGATAATTATTTGTGCAAGGTGTGTAAAATAAAGAAATGGATCTTAAAGGTCTAATCAAACTTAAAAAGTCCAAGACACTATTTGATGATGCAATTCCATTGTTTAAACTGAACAGTAAATAATTCAAGGCCAAGAACCATCCATTGTGAGAGGCCACTTGTTTGCCCCTAGAGTTGTTGCCAAGGACTTAGCTCCATCACAGCTGCACAGTTCATTTTTTAAATATGAGTCACTGAGGATTAAAATGAGTCTAAAGAAAAGACAAAGGAAGTTCTGTCATTACAAAGACATAAGCACCATTATTTTCACATCGTTGACTGAAATTAAGAAAAGAAAGTGGATAGAAGAGAGGGTTAAGTGATTGTATCGTCAGAATTTAGGACGATTTAGACTAAATAAAAAAAGGATAAAAACTTCAGAAAAAAGAGAAATAGTTGGTTCAAGGAAATGGGAGGATAAAGAAAATGGTAATGTTTCTTATTCTGTGGGAAAAATATAAAAATAGTAACATGTCATTTTAAACATCATTATGTAAAATGTCCTACTTCATTTATTCACTTAAACTTTGAGCATCTACTACGTACCAGATACTATTCTAGGCAACGGGCGTCAGTGGTCCTTGTAGAATACAGTTTAAGGTAAAATCTGCATTAAAATAATGGAAAACCTATTTTTCAATATGTAATAACTTACAAACTGCACATTATAATACAGTTTATTGCACTTTAAAAGGAAGGAAAATGGAGACATTTTTGAACAAAAACAAGACATTCAAGTCAAGAGTCT